GTCGGAACCTCCGTCTAGGAACGCATAGGTTTTTACTGATCCTAGCGGCCCGAAAACCTTGACTGATATGATTCCCAAAGAGGTTGTACAATTTCCAGCCGAAGTCGCATGACAACGGGCGTTGTCTTGGATAGTCGCCGGATTCCGCCCCGTACTCACTGGGTTTTGCGGGTGTAGTAAGGGGTGGTGACCCAGCAAACAACGTCCTATACCACAAGTCATGCGTGACCTGCAATTGACGGACTCGTGATTCGGTTTTAGGCATAAATGACACAGTTTTTTAGACTCTACAAAGGAAAGCCTCTCCGGTACACTCCACGCTATGAACTTCCCACACTGGTCCGTGTAATGGTCTCCCTCGCACTGCATACAGCACCTGCGTGCTATTGTCGGCTTAGCAGATGGCGCTACAGTTGTTTGTGAGTGATGCAGCAACGCTTTGTGCGGTGCGTTCCGATCAGCAGGAGGTCGTGCTTGTAAGTTCGGCCAAGTGACAGAATAGGATTGATGAACCATTTGTACATCGGCCCTCTCATCTACAAATTCCGTCAAATCGGAGAAGGTTGGCTCTCGGCCTAGTCGTATGATAGACGCGGCAACCTCAGACCACTTAAACTGGAGGGCTTGAGGTAGTCTGTGTACTATTTCCGAAAGCGTTCTAGAGGCGTTGAGGTCGGCAACACGATTTAACTGACTCAGAGTGTTTTGGCAGTTCCGCATTTCCCCGGCCAACTTCATCAGCACCATTGGGTCCATGGTTTTAATGATGGGCCCGTCCACGAGGCTATCTAGGTGTGCCCTGGCTATCACGTGGGCTTGGCCAAACCTCCTACGGAGAATTTCTAAGGCGCCTTGGTATCCCTCGCTTGGGTCCAGGATAGAACAGCTCTCGATGGCTTCTTTAGCCTCACCCTTACATTAGTGTATTAAATACGATAGGCGACACTCGTCATCCATGTCTCGTTTCCCAATGGCACTATCAAAACTTCTCATGAACAGCCAATACTTTTTCGGGTTTCCATCAAAATAAATTATTTCTCTTTGTGGTAAAGTGAATAAATGAGATATGGGTGCCTGACAAAACTTCTGACAACCAATGGTCTTATTTGATGGAAATGGAGGTATATCAAACCCGGAAACAGGTGGGGCACTGGCCCCAAATAACAATGTAGACAGCGGCCGCGATCGTTCGACCACTGGGGACTCACCACCGGGTTTCTCTTCGACTGTGGTAGCTCTTGCATACTGATCCTCATATTTTCCACTCTTCATGTTGAACTTGCACTCCAACAACCGAAAACGTTCTTTAAATTCCTTGAAGAGATCCACGGTTTCTTCTGACTCAGTCGTGTAACGTTCCAGATCGGGGGCCGATAAAGACTTGTCTGAATTGGTCTGCATTGCTTGGTGAATTGGCTAACTGTAAGCGAAACCCTTTCGACCGTCAACTTTGACCGTTTCGATTGAATTCCTCTCAGGTTCGTACGACCTAGCTGTTTTAAGCCTTTCTAGACTGCTCCTTCTCGGTGTGGCTTACTTCGCGTCTCGAACAAATTTCAAAAAACTTCAACTGATAGAAGTATTAATACGAAACACGGTTCTATAATCAGTACAACGTTAATGAGCAATGAATAGACAAAACATACAGCCAAATTTTGAACCGAGCGAGACACAGATCGTGGATAGTCAAATTTGCTGTTAAACTAGGCGGGAGCGTCATATGTTCATTCAAACAAATTCAGGTCAATGTCAGAAAGTGGGAAACCGATAAGACTGTTCAAATCAAATGAAAGAGTAAGATCAAATCCATGTGAATAAAATAAAACCATATTGTCACGCTACCGTCAGATTGGATTAGGGACCAATCACGAATCGGGACTGAGTTCAGTAAAATGACCAACTTTGTGCCAACAACACAGGAGAATGACTTGGAAGAGATTCACATGTAGAATATGACTACTAACAAGATGTTAGTAGCCAGTAAGAAAAACGTTTAGTTTGTACGAAACGTACACTCCCCGCAGGGTTCGAGCTGTTTGCTTGACGAGCCCCTAAATTATTCTTACTCTGAAACATGGTTTTCCAATAAACACAGATGTCGGACGTCTCTTAAGAGTCGTCCGCTGGCTGTCTTACCCACACATCGCGGACAACACCGTCTTTGGAAAGTCGAGTTTCTTTGACAATACCCCATTTCCATTCGCCTCTGGGCAAGTTCTTGTCAACTATAATCACCAGGTCACCAGTTTTCAGCTCCTGCGCTGTTTCTGTCCAACGCTGCTTTCTTTGCAGAAGTGGTAAGTACGACCTGATCCATTAACGCCAAAAATTTTCAGTGAGATGTTGAGCTTGCCGCCATCGCCGATTCAGCTTGCAAGGTTCCGTTTCACTTTCATTGGAGTATGCATTGCGAAAGCCAAGTAATAGATGATTCGGGGTCAGTACGGCATATTCGCAAGGGTCACAGCTATACAACGAGGCGACGTATGACAGGATTGAT